CCCCCCCCCCCCTTTTCCATGAAAATGTAAATCCACCCCTCCCCACCACGGGGGAAAATGTCTGAAAGAAACACTGGATGTGATACATCTTGTAAAAGTTGTATAATTAAATAACTTTTATTCAATTACAGTACGGCTTGTTTCTGTGGCATTAATTCAAGGTATTAGTGCATAAATGAATTTTGAAACTTTTCCTTTGCTCTCCAATTGATATTGTGTTTTTTTTTTAAACCTTGGGAAATCTTGGGAAAAGTCTTGGCCAAATCTTGGGGATTTCGACAAAAGCGAGTGGTAGCCCTAGTTGGGCCAGTAACTCTAAACAAGTTTTACTAATGGACGTCTGGATCAATCAATAGCTCTACAGCGCGCTTCATTCAATCAGCTTTGCTATCGAATTCAAGCGAATTCAAATACCAATTTCAGCACGTTTCGCTTTTATAAATTTTGTTGATATTCTGTGCTTGGTACACTGTGATTTTGTAAAACTTTATTTACCAGCGTATTTAATTTGTAGATTTGACCACAAACCAGGCGCCCAAGGCCAACCCCAAGCCCAAGGCCCAAGGTAAGACAACACTAGACTCTAGCTCACTATTGTTATTGTTCGTCGTTTGAATGTGAAGATGACCAAGGCTACGATTTGAGCATTAGCCTTGACTTTGTTTAAAGTGAGGGAGAGTTATTCAATTCATCATCCTCACTCTCTTTCTTAAATCTTAGCTTAGGTCCTTGCCTTAGCCTCAGGCAAATTAGCCTTAGCTCAGGGTTACTAACTAAGTCTAAACTTTCTTTGACTTACATTCTATTCTGCCCATGTCGAAAATTTAAAATGTCTGTAAAACATATTCTCCATTATTCTACATGGCATAAAGCTATGTGTTTGTTTTTTTTTGTTTTTTTTTTAAATTTTATAATTACATTATGACTTATGTCTCTTGTGATGTATGATGTATCAGCATCTGTTAATTCTGTTTTGTGTTCTGATGATTCTATGAATCTATGAGACATAAATTTTGTGCTAGGAGTTTTTTGTGTGTCACTGACAGGATTATCATGATTCGGTAACCATAGATCACATACATAAATACTTTTTTGTTACCTATGCCTATTCCTTAAAAATAAGGTTTAATTTATGTAACCTACATCCATTTTCGAGTTTGAACATATTAAAATTTAAGTTAATAATAAAAATGACCTATTGCCTATACAAAGAAAAGTTATGCATGTCGGAAAAGGGAGGGGGGTGGGTTATGAAAATGTTGCCAAATCCAGATGCCAGATGTCGGAAATGCCTCTTATCACTGTCAATTATTGAGTGATTCGTTATTGTTGAATCCCTAAGCCCTAACATTTGATTATTCTAAAGTGTTTAAAATGAATAAATTTACAAGATTTAAGAAAAGATTATAATACCGAACTTGAAAAGTTTTGGGTATGGACTAAGGCTTGCTTTTTACAATTTTTGTGTACCCATTTTACCGTTCTCATTATTTAATCCCTAATACATCATTAAATAATACTAATAGCAATAATAATTGGTATTCTTGTATTAATAATTTCTCAAATGTCACAAGTGAGAATATCACTAAAATTAGGCCTACCTACATAAAAGTTTAACAAAAACTGCTATTATAATCCTATAGTCTAGTTAGGCCTACAGCTAATATTATTCTATTACTACAGCTGTGCTTACAGGCCTGATTAAAATTTGTATTTAAACAATTTATTAAGGTTTTTAATTATAATTAAATTAGAAATTTTAATTAATTCTTGATTTAATTTAAGGTAATATTCTGATACATAGCCTACTCACTGCGTGTCTCTATGGACACAGATAACTGTTTACATAGTCAAATTTTTAATACTAGGAGTTTAACCCCATTTGTTAACCAACCCTAGTGTTCCGCTGTTTAATATATGTCTATTGAGCGCTCATTAGGTGCATGATTTTTATTTTTACCCATTTGGGGTAGTTTACCCCTGTTTTCCGACCTCTATTACTAAACTATGGTATAAAAATAGAACAGTTACTACGTCAGTTCTACAAACTGAAACTCCTACAATTTGCAGTTACGATGTTGTAAAATATCATAACATTTAACTGACGCTTTTGAACTTATCAAATATAATGTCACCCTGAACTTGCCTGAAAGTAATCTTAATAATCAATAAACATTTTTTAAATAGATTCTGAAAACCGTTAATTGATGTCATCGCGCCCCCCCCCCCGTATAGAAATTTATACATTCCTAGTTTTTGAACTATAGGCACCCTGTGTACTTGTGAGATTATTGCCCTTGGATTAGTCTTTGTTAGGGGGTAATTCAAATTAGTTGTTTCCCTGTTATAATATTTGGAATTGTCGCCTCCCCCTAAAGAAAATAAATCAACCTATTTACCACAGTTCAGACATCAGTACTATTAATATAAAATGTGGAGTTGGGGGGGTCGTGGGGGGGGGGTGCGATTTTGAAGGGGAAGAAGGATGCACCAGAAGCAAAATATATATAAGTGATTATCAAGTAACAAAAAAAAGGAAAAATTGTCGCCTCCCCCTAAAGAAAATAAATCAACCTATTTACCACAGTTCAGACATCAGTACTATTAATATAAAATGTGGAGTTGGGGGGGTCGTGGGGGGGGGGGTGCGATTTTGAAGGGGAAGCAGGATGCACCAGAAGCAAAATATATATAAGTGATTATCAAGTAACAAAAAAAAGGAAATGAGTTTTAATAAACAGAATAAGTATAAAAAAAACAAGGAATTGTGTAGATTCAGAATTATGATTAGAATTTATTTCTAGCTTCTTTCAGCTAACGGATACAAGAGAAAATTTTAATACTCAACTTGGTCATTTTGAACGGAGAAATAGGAGTAAAGCTTCTTGTTGTCCCACATTGCACCACCTGTTTTGAAAGAATGTCTTGTGCAAAAAAAAATATTTTCTAAATCCAGTGAAAACTGTACAAAGTACAGGTAAACTTACAGGCTGGCATGTATCATGCATCCCATCTCTACTGGACTACTGTCTATTGTTTGTTTACTTTCTGTTGTCATGTTTACATTAAGACACAGTTGAGCGAAATAAGATGTTACGTAACTAACTCTCATTATGTTTTTATTTGGATATTTCTAAGCTGTTCAACCACACTGGTGTGATTCAAAGACATAAGCAGCTATTCAAAAATATATTATTAGCATGTGTGGCCCAGAAATTTGTGATTTAAATAATACACATATCATGTACTTAAATTTTTACATAGGGTATATTTTACTGAGTTGTTTTCAAATACAGTTTTTGTCTCCATTCATAGGAACTAACTAATATCTCATCATGCCACAAGACCAAATATCCTACTCTGATAAATATTTTGATGACAAATATGAATACAGGTAATAAGTTTTTATTTTTAATTTTGCATAATTTATGATGTTTACTCCAAGGCGTAATCAATTTTGTATTAAAAATTACATTAAATATAGTAATTGAACAGTTTTTCAAAGTTTAAAAAGTTACCTACGATACTTTAATTATAAAGTTCAAAGATGTCTTCTCAAAAGCATGGTTTGAAGTTCATTTTCTTTACACTAGGTACTTTTCAGTTTGGACATTTTACAAATGATAACACGTTTTACTTAGATAAAAATAGGCGACACCCTTTGAGGGATTGTTGAAAACCACTGCCTCAATATTTTAGTGCTATTGTACAAAAAATTAAAATTGTGCAGCTGCTTTGCTAAGTGCAGTATGTTTTTTTTTCCTTCTTCCAAGACATGTAATTTTGCCTGGTGACATAGCCAAATTGGTACCTAAAAATCATTTGATGACTGAAACAGAGTGGAGGAACCTTGGCGTTCAGCAGTCGCCAGGTTGGATTCACTATATGGTACATGCACCAGGTAAGATCTATAATGACATAAAAGCAAATAGATGCTTAAACTGAGTTTAATAATTTTATCTACCAGCGACAGTCCTAACACAATCATGTTACATTTGTAACAAAGCAATATTTTATTGGGATTTTCCCGCAGTTGTAAATTTGCGTTGTTTCAACTGAGAAACACCCCTCCCCCACAAACAACAAAAAAACAACTCATTTCCATATCAGCCTTTTCAAAATATCCTTGACATTCCCTCTTCATCAGACAATACTAAAACTGATTAAGCCTCCATCTGTTGCACTGTAGATAGAATAAATAAGTTATTAAAGCAGAAATTATTACATTTTTACAAAGAAAATAGTCTTTGATAGACTTTCTTATATAGAATGAGGCAGTGGTTTGACTTTGTTCTTGCTATTAATAATGTTGACACCTAGGTATTTATATGGTGATTTTTTAATTTCAAGATTTGCAATTACTGTATATACTCAAGTAAAAGTCCAGAAATTTTAATGGCAAAAATGTTAAAATGCAGTCAACTTATCTATGGGTCAGTGCTAGTTTTGATAGAATTTCGTGCATTGAATGCGGATAAATAATGAGTTACAGGTAGTGCTACTGTACTTACCGGTAGAGACAGACCAAATTTCGGTGCTGAAAGTTGCCATTTCATCACTTTCAGCGTAGTTTCAGTTTCTGCCAAAACAGAAAAGTTAACTTTTGGTTTATTTATGGTTTCAGCCGAAAGTGATTGAGACTTTCGGCCATCAGGCTGAAAGTGAGTGCGGCATTTGGTTGTCCCCCAGAAGTCATACACTGTCTGTCAGTCACCCGGCAATCAGATATTCATTATTGATTGCTAGACGTCTTGCTGTCATAGTATGTTATATGAATAATCCTCTGGGAACTTTGCTCACAGCTGCATGATGACCTACTTCTTCTAATAAATCCAAAAATAAAATTTCAATTAGGCTTAGGCAAATGTAAATAGTTTTGAAGATGAAAACTAAAGGAATGGTAATGTTTATAGTATTATTTTTGTTTAATGTTTTCAAAAAGTACAATTTGGGAACACTAGGTTTATTCCATTCGTTCATTTGTGGCCTTCATTTTGATTTATCATTATCATTATCATGCTCATCAATGTTCTATGCAACTGTGAACAAATCCTAGGGAATGCTAACTTTTCTATTATTATTTTTAAAAAAGACCATTTATGAAAAATAAAAATTTGGGAACCTTATGCTTATTCAATTCATTCATTTATATAATTCATCATCATGCTGATACTGATCATACTAAATTTTGTTCAACAATTATTCAACTTCGTTTTAATCTGGGTCAAATATAAAATTAGCTAATAAATAATAATTGCGGATAAACGAAACATTTAAATAAGAAGGCGTGTTTCAAGGCTTATGTCTGGATATTTTAGTGGTCCATACCGACAAAAAATTCATAGTATGCATAAAGCTAAGCTTTCGATCGATACCAATTATGTTAAGATAGCGTTATTACATCATAAATGAAAGGGCGCCCAATGGTCTGTTTTGTATGAATTTTGTGCCCGTTCCCCCCCCCCCCCCCCCCCCCCCCCCCCCCCCATCAAAGTTTTCTCTTACCATACTACTTAAAAATACATTTTTATCATCTGTAAATTATTTTTTCATTCAAATGGTAAAAGCCAGTCTTCATTAGATGTTTATATATTAAAACTCATGATAATCTCTTTTCCCCATCAGTTTTTGATGATAACAGAACGTAAGCACGAACAAGTTTTGTACTATCTAAATCTTTCGGTTTCGGCTGTAAGTCTCATTAAGCTTTTGGTTTTGGCTTCAGTTGTGGCTGAAAGTCCCGTTAAGCTTTTTGTTTTGACCTAATGTCATTTTTAACTTTTAATCTGGTTTGAGTTTTGGCCGAAATAAAAAAATCACTTAATGACCGAGGTAATCTTATATAAACATATAAAAAGGGTTACTGCTTTATAAATCTACCGGTACTGCATTAGATTGGTAAGTCAGTTCCACCCCATGAGCTGTAACTCTTTTCTGTCTTAGCTTTGGATATTTAAACAGTTATTAGACAATTTTGTCAAGATTATGTCATACTGCCAATTTCACTGTACATTTAGAGTGCTGTATGTTCAGCTTCACTAAGTAATGTTGCTATGGTCCTGGTGCATTTAGGAAATGTAAGGCTTGACTATATAATAGAATATAAATTTAAAAGTGCAACCTTTCTAAAATGTTGAAATATTTGGATAGTGATTATTGTAGATAATTACTAACTATATTTCAATGACAACTCCTTAGATGAGACAAATTTTGAAAGCATTTGAACAAAACATTGATAAACATCAGAAAACCTTAGACTTTAATTAACAGAATAACCAGTGGCATAGCTAGGATAGGTGTCATCTGTTGCTGTAAACACATGGTGTCTCAATGGATTTCTTCTTGTTAGAATAAGTCCGCAGTTTAACTATGACAAGAACAAAAACAAATTAATTGAAGGTCAGGAGGCTAATATATGTATTAAAGAACTGTAACAATGTCAAGTTATAATTATCTTTACACTAAATTTACTTTATTTAAAATTTCCCTTTCTTGATCTTCAAAGCTGCAAACCTTTCAGTCACTTGATCAAAATCACTAGCCTTCACCGTAACACTTTCAATTGATAGTAGATCCAGATCAGAAAGCCTGTACCGCTCCTTTAGTGCTAAACAAAATAATATTTTAAAAACTTTTCTATTATCTTTTAATAATTAATAATTTAAAAAAAAAGATTTTTGAAACCAAATATATTGACACCTAGATATACTCAAAAATAATTTTTCCACCGATGCGCCCCCATCCCTTAACTTTTGAGCTTTATTGTCATAGAGCACAAGTTCCTTTACATGTTGTCAGTGATGTCATGTGTTTCTGCTACATTGACATTTGGGATTAGCAACTTGATGAAGGTCATCTTACTCAGCAGTTTCTGCAGACTAAAGGCTTTACTCTTGACAAAGTGGTGACCATCCTGGAGCCCTTAAGGTTGTTTCTGCACGAGAAGCAGTCTCCTGGTGGAACATGCTATTGAAAAGGCACTTTTAAAATCAGACCATGCGGAATTGTAGAGAGAAGATTAAGGTTGAAGAGGAGAAAGGCAGGAGAACAATTTACAATACACGATATATTTGGTTTCAAAAACCTTTTTTTTTTTTTAAATTAAAAAAAATTAATTATTTAAGATAATAGAAAAGTTTTTAAAATATTATTTTGTTTAACACTATAGTATATATAGGTAAAAAGTCATTTTTTTATTGTTTTTAATTTGTACAGATTCAATTCATGTTAGAGACCAACCGAACGTGATTTTTCTGATTTTGGCCGAAGCCGAAAATAGGCCAAACGTTTAAAATGACTTTCGGCCTTAACTGAAAAAGGCAGAAAGTTAAAAATGCTTTAGCCCAAGGCAGAAAATGAAATATATAGATATTTTTACATTCGTTCCCTCATACATTCTGCATGCATCGAAAATGATGGGGAAAGTATAAATATTTACATTCTTTTTATAAAAAAATGAGATAATTGTGAATATTAATAAATAAACATCTAATATAACATTATGTTGTTAAAGATTGTTTAGTTTGTTCTTAAAGATCGCTTAGTTTGTTGTTAAAGATCGTTCAGTTTTTTGTTAATGATCGCTTTATTTGTTCTTAAAGATCGGTTAGTTTGTTCATAAAGATCGCTTAGTTTGTTGTTAAAAATCTTTTATTTTTTTCTTTAAAATCGCTTAGTTATTAAAGATCGCTTAGTTTTTGTTTAAAGATCTTTTAGTTTGTTATTAAAGATCATTTAGTTTGTTATTAAAGATCATTTAGTTTGTTCAAAAAAGATCGCTAAGTTTTTTCTTAAAGATTGCTTAGATTGTTCTTAAAGATTGCTTAGTTTTTATTTAAAGATCTTTTAGTTTGTTATTAAAGATAATTTATTTTGTTCAAAAAAGATTCTTAAGTTTTTTTTATTAAAGATCGCTTAAATTGTTTTAAAGATCCTTTAGTTTGTTCTTAAATGTTGCTTAGTTTGTTGTTAAATATTGTTCAGTTTTTGTTTTTAAAGATTGTTTAGTTTGTTTTAAAGATCGCTAAATTTGTTCTTAAAGATCGTTTAGTTTGTTCTTAAATGTCGCTTAGTTTGTTATTAAATATCGCTTTCGCTGAGTATTAGATGACCGAAAACCTCAGTCACTTTCGGCCATCCGGAAGTCTAAGTCAATTTCGTCCGAAACCAAAAAAACCCCGAAAGTTAACTTTTCTCTTTCGGCCGAAACCGAAATTAAGCCGAAAGTTAACTTTCAGTTTCGGCCAAAACCGAAACTTGGCCGAAAGTGATAAAATGGCCACTTTCGGCACCGAAGCCGAATTTCGGTCGGTCTCTAATTCATGTACTTAGAATCGCCTGGCCACATCATATTTAATATCAATGGAAAGCTTTATTTCTCAGAATTTAGATCAATATAGCTTCCCGTTACTTACGAAAGTTACCAAACACTTCAATCTGCTTTGAATCATGGTCGAAACAGTGTTTTCTGACCTAAATATAGGGTCTACACATTTTGGACACATCAACCTTGAACTTTTAACAAAGCACACATTTGGATTGGTTACATGGGTGTAAAATTTATGTGTGATCAGTTATCTTTTTATGAAATTCGGTTAGAGCAAGCAGTGTGTGCTTTGTAAATATGGAATTTTTCAATTTGGTGCCACCCCTGGGGTGGTGTCACCCGGTGCAGTCCGCACCCCCAGCTACGCCACTGAGAATGATGTTCCTGATCTTAAGTTGTTATTGAATCATGATGCAAGTAAATGAGAGACTCAGTGAGTTAATTAGTTTGCTCTTCTTTGAAGGAGTGTAGTCTATCTGCACTAATTTCCTGCCCTTAATTTCTTCATTAGCTGTCCGTCTTGAGGAAATACAGCTGGTAATGCTCACTGCATAAAAACTAAATGTGCAATGATTGGAATACATGTCCCTGATCTACTTTCCTTCAGAATTTTATTATTATGGTACTAAAAAACTAATTTGGGTGGAAAGTCTGAAAACATTCAGTCAGCTATTTTTAAGTGGTATCAATTTGAAATTATTTTTTGACCTCCCACATTATTATGTTGTTGTTTTTTTTTGTTGCTCCCCAGAACCTCATGTTCTTCTCTTTCGCAGACCTTTACCTAATGCTCAGAGAGATCAAAATGGAATGGTTCCCCAAGCACCTTTTGTGATAAGCTGAGCGGTGGGGCAGTGGCCTTCCATATCTAATGGTTTTATTATGTTGAAATTTTTGTACCGGTATAGATCTATATATAAATCCTAAATGAACAGATTTCAGTTTTTTTTTTAAATATTAACATGTAAATAAATGCGCAACTGTACAGTTTCAATAATAATCAAATAGGCCACTGTGTATTACTATACTTGATGGTCATAATATTTGTTGCAAATAAATATCTTTGTCATCAGTTGATTTGTACAAATTTAAATGAGTTTCTTTAACTTTCACCTGTATATATTTATATAGAGAAAAAAAATTGGAGAATTTTTGCACGCTACCATAAAATTTATAAATAAAAATTGATGAATTTGTCTGTTATGGTATTTATTAAAATATGTACACCATACTTACATGCATAACACTGACATGATTAAATGTTATGATTAACAGTACAGACATAATTTATTTTGTTCTTTTACTTTGTCCTTTACAAATGACATATTGGCATTTCACAATTTACACTCACTGTTTTTCTGTAACTTTTGGCAACATCCACATCTCTTGTGTTTGATCAATTGATTTATACATGTCTTTTTTTACAACAGATGGTGCACATACTTCGGGAATACCTGTAATGCATTTGAGAGACTTTTCCATCACATACTACAGTAATATATGTAATGTGTTGCAGTTGTAAGACTGTTCCATCACAATCACATATTTCTCAAGGAATGACTTACATTAGACATATGCATCCTCTACTTGATGTTTGCAGGAGCTGCCTTCCAATCTCCATTATAAAACACTGTCTATTGTCACCATTAGTCACAAAATCCTTGGGGCAAAAGCTCCCAAATCTAAAATAAAAATACTGCAAAACATTACCATTAGCCGCCGCTTTGATTTGCATGTACATGTAAAGGCGTGTGCCATTGTGTACATGTAGTCAACGTGACCTTAGGCTTTTATAATAATTTATATAGTCAGCTTTTATACAAATTCAGGCATCTGTTTTTCACCTGGCATTGTCATCATGCATGGTGTTCAAGGGGGTAACTTGTTTTTCCTTTAAGATATTGCTGCCTTATCCCTTGAATGAATGGCTCAACAAGTTTCAGAACTGTCTTTGCTCCAAGGTTTTGTGTCTTGTTATCTCCTAGTGAAGGTGCCTCTTTTCCCTAGTATTACTCCCCTTTCAACAGATCAGATGTTTCTGTTAACATGCCCCCAAAAAATCTTGCTGCCATATTGATCTGTTTGTTGGGTAGGTATTGTAGAAAGAGCACCTTGCACAAAATGGGATGTATTGCTAATCAACTGTGATGTTACTGCTAGGACTGCATTGCTAATCAACTGTGATGTTACTCCTAGGATTGAGATTGGTTTGGAAAGTATTGAAAATTTCCTTGGCTTCCCTTAGTCTCTTTGTTTTCTTGTCTTGATTCGCAAGGGGTTTAGGCGAGGCACACATCTTTTCCTTGACATTGCTACTCCCACCATATCATTGCCTGCAGCTGTATCAAACAGATGGAGGTATTTGTAAAGTTTTGATGAACTGCACCAGCTTAAAGGCAGCATCCAAGAGAAGTCTCTATTTGATCTGAATTGCATCAGTCCAGTCATCTTTCTTTTGTCTGTGTGTGTATAAATCATAAATTCAACCATTGTGGACGTTATGTATTGCCGAAAAAACAGTTCCGGTAAGCGCTTTTCTTTAAACCTACTTTCATGACATTCTTCTGTGGCAAGAACACAAAATGTGAGATCCCATGATTAAAATAGAGCTACTTGACTTGACATTTTTTTTGCAGTCTTATATGGTAATTAAAGGTACCAGGTATGTGCAATTATTTCCTTCTTTGTCACCAAGCCTTTCCCACCCACAGGGTACCTGTAAGGATGCTGATTTTTATTGGCCCACGGCCAATCAAATATAAAGTCGTATGGAAACGCCTTTTTTGTGTCCATATGTTGGGTAGATGAGACATTTTATACCAAATATGTTGGGTAAATGAAGCATTTTATACCAAATATGCTGGGTAGATGAGGCATTTTATACCAAATATGTTGGGTAAATGAAGCATTTTATACCAAATATGCTGGGTAGATGAGGCATTTTATACCAAATATGTTGGGTAAATGAAGCATTTTATACCAAATATGCTGGGTAGATGAAGCATACTATACCGAATATGTTGGGTAGATGAGGCATTTTATACCAAATATGTTGGGTAAATGAAGCATTTTATACCAAATATGCTGGGTAGATGAGGCATTTTATACCAAATATGTTGGGTAAATGAAGCATTTTATACCAAATATGTTGGGTAGATGAGGCATACTATACCAAATATGTTGGGTAGATGAGGCATACTATACCAAATATGTTGGGTAAATGAAGCATTTTATACCAAATATGTTGGGTAAATGAAGCATTTTATACCAAATATGTTGGGTAGATGAGGCATACTATACCAAATATGTTGGGTAGATGAGGCATTTTATACCAAATATGTTGGGTAAATGAAGCATTTTATACCAAATATGTTGGGTAAATGAAGCATTTTATACCAAATATGTTGGGTAAATGAAGCATTTTATACCAAATATGTTGGGTAGATGAGGCATACTATACCAAATATGTTGGGTAGATGAGGCATACTATACCAAATATGTTGGGTAGATGAGGCATACTATACCAAATATGTTGGGTAGATGAGGCATACTATACCAAATATGTTGGGTAGATGAGGCATACTATACCAAATATGTTGGGTAGATGAGGCATACTATACCAAATATGTTGGGTAGATGAGGCATACTATACCAAATATGTTGGGTAGATGAGGCATACTATACCAAATATGTTGGGTAGATGAGGCATACTATACCAAATATGTTGGGTAGATGAGGCATACTATACCAAATATGTTGGGTAGATGAGGCATACTATACCAAATATGTTGGGTAGATGAGGCATACTATACCAAATATGTTGGGTAGATGAGGCATACTATACCAAATATGTTGGGTAGATGAGGCATACTATACCAAATATGTTGGGTAGATGAGGCATACTATACCAAATATGTTGGGTAGATGAGGCATACTATACCAAATATGTTGGGTAGATGAGGCATACTATACCAAATATGTTGGGTAGATGAGGCATACTATACCAAATATGTTGGGTAGATGAGGCATACTATACCAAATATGTTGGGTAGATGAGGCATACTATACCAAATATGTTGGGTAAATGAAGCATTTTATACCAAATATGTTGGGTAAATGAAGCATTTTATACCAAATATGTTGGGTAGATGAGGCATACTATACCAAATATGTTGGGTAGATGAGGCATACTATACCAACTATGCTGGGTAGATGAGGCATTTTATACCAAATATGTTGGGTAGATGAAGCATTTTATACCAAATATGCTGAGTAGATGAGGCATACTATACCAAATATGCTGGGTAGATGAGGCATACTATACCAAATATGTTGGGTAGATGATGCATACTATATCAAATATGCTGGGTAGATGAGGCATACTATACCAAATATGTTGGGGTAGATGAGGCATACTATACCAAATATGTTGGGTAGATGAGGCATACTATACCAAATATGCTGGGTAGATGAGGCATACTATACCAAATATGTTGGGGTAGATGAGGCAAACTATACCAAATATGTTGGGTAGATGAGGCATACTATACCAAATATGCTGGGTAGATGAGGCATACTATACCAAATATATTGGGTAGATGAGGCATACTATACCAAATATGTTGGGTAGATTAGGCATACTATACCAA